GATTTTGGAGCCCAAGAAAATAAAGTCTCTCACCGTTCCCACTGTTTCCATTGTTTACTCAGGTAAATAGTTACTTGAGCATATATTAATATATCTAAATTCAGTCAACAAACATTTACTGAATAGCTATTATGTGCCAGAAACTATTCTATTGGTACCATCTAAATGGCTCAGTGATATATCTACAGCACCAAGAACACTGCCAGGGATTGTTCAAAACATACAGCTGAATATGAGTAAAGTCAGTCAAGAGCTTTAGTTCACTGCAAGCTATTACTGGAAAATCTACCAACTTTTCCCTAAGCACACTCATTCACTCTGCTTTCCCTCCTGTGAAAAAGAATGACATAATTGTGCTCTGTGTGTGCGTGCTCAGGCACATCAGTTGTGTCCAACTCTTTGTGACCATATGGACACTATACAGCCCACCAGGCTCCTCTGTCCATGGGATTTTCCAGGCAAGAATACTGGAGTTGGTTGCCATGCTGTCCTTCAGGGCATCATCCTGACTCAGGGATCTGCTGCATTGCAGGTGGATTTTTTTACCCACTGAGTCACTTGGGAAGTTCTAATTGTGCTCCAAGGCAAATATTCTCTACTTTGGCACAAATTTCAATTCCTCTTGTGAAGATTTCCTAAGATTACCTTCTTTCTTTCCCACTTATTGCTTGCTTTTCCTTTTTAACAAAATCACTTTCATCAGCATATAAATATAATAAAATGCCCTCATCTTATAAAAAAATACTCCCCAGACAATATCATCATACCCTTTTCTGGCACCACCACATTTCTCTGCTCCCTTCTACAGACAGTGTCTCAAAATAAAATCTCCATTTATATAATCACTGCCTCTAATACCTTTTTAGCCCACTGCAACCTTCTCTTACCCTCATCTTTGTAACTAAAAATGTCACCAATAAAGAATACACTGTCAAAATTTCCCTGGTGGTCCAGAGGTTCAGAATCCCCCTTGCAAAGCAGTGGACATGGGTCCAATCCCTGGTCAGGGAACTAAGATAAAAGAGAGTCCAAGCATCGCATGTCGCAACAAAGGTCCCACGTGCCACAACTAAGACTAGATGTAGTCAAATGAATAAAAATTTAAAAAGGAATACACTGTCAAATACTGTATGATATCACTTACATTTGAAACCTAAAACATGACACAAATGAACTTATCTATGAAACAGAAACCAAATCACAGGCATAAAGAACAGCATTGTGGTTGCCAAGGGGGAGGGGGCAGGAGAGGGATGGACTGGGAATTTGGGACTAGCAGATACAAACTATTATAAACAGAATGGATAAACAACAAGGTCCTACTGTATAGCATAGGGAACTATATTCACTATCCCATGATAAACCATGATGGAAAAGAATATGAAGATGGATGTATATAAAACTGAATCACTTTGGACTGCAGCCCATCAGACTCCTCTGTCCAAGAAATTTCCTAGGCAAGAATAACAGAGTGGGTTGCCATTTCCCCCCTGGAAAATCCTCAAATACTTGAAAATAAAACTACATGCTTCTAAATAACCCATGACTCTAAGAAGTCACAGAAGAAATTAGGGAAATATTTTGCACTGAATGATAATAAAAACACAATATATCATAATTTGTGAGATACATTTTAAAAAAGGGCTTAGAGGGAAACTGATAGTTTTAAACACTTAAAACAAGAAATGTTTATAATCTATGATCTAAGCTTCCAAATTAATAAATCAGAAGAAAAGCAAATGAAACCCAAAATAGGCAGAAAGAAGAAAATAATTACAATAAAAGCAAAAATCAAAGAAACAGAAAACTGAAAAAGCTAAACGATGGTTCTTGGAACTGACAATAAAACTGATAAACGACTAGCTAGACAGATCAAGGAAAACAAAAAGAGAAACCACAAATAACCAATAGCAGGGGAAAGAGAACTTTACTATAGATCTTACAGACATTAAAGAATAAGTATAGCTTATTAATGACACTGGGCCAATAAATCTGACTGAAAAGAAAAAATTACCAAAACTGACATAAGAAATAGAAAATTTGAATAGCTTTATATTTAATAAAGAATAATAAAGAAATTTAATTTGTAATTTAAAATCCTCCAGTAGAGAATACTAGGGGTACAGATAGCTTCACTGTTGAGTTATATTAAACACACAAGGAAGAATTAATGTTAATATTTCACAAACTATTTCAGAAAATAAGAGATGAAGGGAACATTTCCTTGCTCCTTTTAAGAAGCCAGCACTATCCTGATATCAAACCAAAGACATTATTAGGAAAAAAAAAAGAAAAAAGAAACCTATAAACATCACCCACTCAACGCTGGCATCACCGCCCCCCTCCCCGCTCCCCTCACAGGGCAAAGGTAAAAAATCTTGAACTAATATTTCAAAAAGAAGAATGGCCAATAAGCTCATAAAAAGGTTCAATGTCATTAGACATCAGGGAAATACAAATTAAAACCAGTATGAGATACTGCTAATGCCCAGTAAAATGGTTGAAACTAAAAAGAATGACAATACTAATGCAGGATGTAAAACAAATGAAATCAGTCCTGAATGTTCACTGGAAGGACTGATGCTGAAGCTGAGACTCCAATACTTTGGCCACCTGATACAAAGAACTGACTCACTAGAAAAGACTCTGATGATGGGAAAGATTGAAGGTGGGAGGAGAAGGGGACGACAGAGGATGAGATGGTTGGATGGCATCACTGACTTGATGGACATAAGTTTGAGTAAGCTCCTGGAGTTGGTGATGGACAGGGAAGCCTGGCATGCTGCGATTCATGGGGTCGAAAAGAGTCGGACATGACTGAGCGACTGAACTGAACTGAAAACAAATGAAACTATTATACACGGCTGGGAAATGGGAGTGGATAAGGTAGGAGTATGGTACAACCAATTTGGCACGCACTTGATACATAATCCAGAAATTCTACTTCTTTCTGTATGACTCAGTATACCCGTAAGAAAAGAAAATACAAGTTCACACAAAGAATTGTTAGTCAATGTTTATAAATACTCAATTCTTAACAGGTAAAATCTAGAAACAACTCAATGTTTATCAACAGGTGAATGAATAAATAAATTTTGGTATTTTTATACAATGGAAATAAAAATGAACTATGAATATAAAGAAAAACATTACTGACACATTCAAGAACATCGAAGAATTCCAAAAGTATATACTGAGCAGAAGAATGCAAATATATATGCCAAAAAAATATATACATTATATGGATTACATTTATATGAAATTCAAGAGAAAGCAAAACTTACCTATAGTGACAGAGAACAGATAGCAATTGTGTGGGGCCAGTGGTAGGGTGAGGTGGACTGGAAAGGAACTTGAGGGGACTTTGTGGGTTGAAGGAAATGTTCTAATTCTTAATTAACATGTTGCTTACAAAGGTGCACATGTCTATCAAAACTCAGGCTGTACATTCTATATGCCATTTTTTATGTGTAAACATAGCTGACTTAAAAAGTAAAAGAGTGGTATGACACACATACATGCAGCAAGTTTTCTCTCGACCTCATGTCACTCACAAAAATAAATGGAGCTAAATATAAACAAAGGAAATAAAACTGCAATCACATTAAAAGAAAAATAAGAAGTCATGTTTATGATCCTGGAGATGGAAAAACCTTCTTTAACAAGACATTAAAGAGCAAAAGCTTTATACAAGAGAAAGATAAATTTATTCATCAAACAAAATCTTTTAGACCATAAAACTTAAATGGGCACTGAGTGGGAGAAACATTTGCAGTATGTGGAATAAATTATTCAAATGCAGAATTCAAACAAAACAACATAAGACAAAAACAGAAATTTTCCTAAAACTCATTAGGCAAAAGGTATAGCCCAAAGGGCAGAAGAAATAGGCCAATGAATCCACATAGACATTAAATGGATGACAAATCTGTAAAGATGATGAACCTCCCCAGAAATCTAGGAAATAGAATACTATTTCCTACTCAAAAGACTGGTGCTTAAAATAACAAATAGCAGTGTGCATGTAAGGAATAAAAGGAAACACAAGTGCAGGTATTGACTAGCACAATTACCACAGAGGGAATTTGAGAGAATATATTAACTATATACTCTCAATATTCAACAATTTTATTTCTTGCTTTTTACTCAAAAGAAACTCACATGCACACAAGAAGGCAGGAATAAAAGTTATCCACTACAGCAATGTTTATAGAAATGAAAATTTGGCAACAAGATAAATATCAAAGGGAAATGGCTAAATAAATTTAAATTAAGATATGAAATGGATGCAATTAAAAGAACTGAATACTTCTATATGTAATATATTATATATAATAACATGAAAAAGTATCTAAGATCTATTGCTGACTGATTAAAAATACAGAGTAATATTTCTGTACAGAAATTAAGTGAGAAAATTTTTATATGTAATGATTCCATTATATGTACATGCATTTGGAAAGACTTGTAAAGGTATGCATGAAGTAGCTCTGGTGAGATGGAAGAGGCAGAATATGGAGAAGGCTATTATTAGGGGTCCTTCTTGCATTATTGGTATAAATTAATGTTTAAAAAAACAAATCTGTTGATTTTAGATGAGCTTGGAATTAATGTCTGAAGAACCGTTACCACAGGCTTTAAGTATGGTTGTTGCATCCTCTGGAAATGGTTCCTCATACAAACAGTTTGGGAAACCCTTACCATCTGTGGCTGAGAGTATCATAATAGTTCACAACAAGCAGTGATGACCTCTAAGTCTCTATCACAAGTTGCCTTCAAAGATTTTTCAAGTTTCTCTCAATCTAAGTCAATCTCAATTCTACAGTCTAGTTTTATTTTCTTCATAGTAATTATCACTATCTTAAGTTACCTATTCATTCACTTATTTATTATCTATCTCCCACTAAAATGGGAATGCCAAGATAATTCTGAATTCACATGATTTTAGTCAAGCCATTTAGCGTTTTGTTACAGTATAAAGACACATTTTATTTACTTACCTTAGTTGGAAAAGGAAATTTGGAAGGTTCTGTTTTGCATGGTGTATGAATAGCCGTTAGAGGGGGAGGCCATGAATGCGTCATCTCCTGAAATGTAATTATTACAGTTTGTTTTCAAGCAGGTCAAGGATAAAAATTACACAGCTAAAAACCAGATCTGTATTATAAATGCTGGTTTTGTGACTGCTCCTCCAAAGGTGAACATATTTAATCAATAAATATTAATTAAGCACAATGTGTGCAAGGCATTATGGGGTAGGTAACAGGAAGACAGTTTATACTCTGACTTCAAGGAGGTTAGAGTTAAGGTGATAAGACCTGTGAATAGTTATAGTAATCAGCCTGTAACCAAATACAGGGCACATAGTAAAATGCTATTAAGGAAGAGCTTGCTATGGGAGTGGGAAAGGGGGATAACAGTAAGAAAAGAAGCCAGCTTTTACTGTGTACCTTTAATGGGCCACATACTATGCTATTTTACATCTGTTACTCAGCTAGTAGTCATAATGACATTATGAGGTAGATACCATTATTATCCTGACTCTCTATAGGATAAAACTGAAGCACAGAGATTAAGCTATTTACTCAAGGTCATACACTTAGTAAGTAATGGACACAGAATTTGATCCTGGTTAGTCTCTCTACAAAGTCCATTCACTGATCCGAAATTTTGGTCAAGTGGAGAAAATCAGAAGAAAGGTATCAAATGCACACATAGAGGAAGACAGACAAGTAAGACTACATGTCTGATTTCATTCAATGCCTTCTGTCTAATCATATGCCAAGTATGTCCAAGTGGAAGTTTGGATACAATCACAATGTATACATTAGAGAAGCAGGAAACAGAGAAGTATCAGACCCAGAATACGGAAGAAGTGTTTTATCTCTGGCATGTAGTTCAAAGCCAGCCGTCAAGTAGATTGAGAAAATACAATGAATTAAAGGTGGTATAACCTTTAGGAATTTATCCTATAGCTATAAGCACAGTTATGTAAAGATACATGTTCAAGGGATACACACTAAAAAAATGAAAACAACCTAAACATCAACAACATAGGATTAATTAAATTACCAGACACTCATACAGTGGAACACCAAGCAAACAGAAAAATGAGAAAGTTACCTTCTGAAAGGAAATGATACCCCCAGTTACTGTTAAATGCCAAATACAAATCAGTGTATGTCCTCATAAATGTTTATTTATGGAAAAATCTCTCAGAGATCGTTAACCTGTGGATAACAGAATGACTGAGGGAAGAAGAGACGAGACCACTTGACACAGCTTCCACCACTTGAATCTCTTGAAATAGTCACCTGCACTCAGCTTGCTCTTTATCCTCTTACAATGCTTTATGTCTCTAATCGTATTTCACTTTCTGAAGTAATTGTATATAGTTGATTATTTCCTACATTGTGCTCGAAAATGTCAGCTCAAAGGGTGCAACACTAACACTATTATCACCACTATATCCCTGGTGCTTGACACACAGTAATCTCTAAATTAATAAATCATTTCTTACAATAAATATATTACTTTTAGACTAAAAAAATCTTTTTATTTCCTTTAAGTTTGTGATGGGGTTCCCATAAAAAATACAACTACAAGTATGAAGAAAACACAAAGGCAATGTGAACCTGAACTTGCTTATATGCTGCACATAGGGAAAGGAAAAGAAACAGAAACTTATATACCCCAGGTTTTCAATGTTGGCATTTTACACCTTAAATACCAAAATCCTCTCAATAAAAAATCTATTTAACTCCCTACTGTCAAATGACTGAGCATCTATTACACCCAAGGCCATGTGCCAAGTCATATATATACATAAAATAGATAATAAATGGCTTCCCTTGTACCTCAGCTGGTACAGAATCTGCCTGCAATGCAGGAGACCTGGGTTTGATCCCTGGGTTGGGAAGATCCCCTGGAGAAGGGAAAGGCTACCCACTCCAATATTCTGGCCTGGAGAATTCTGTGGACTGCATAGTCCACGGGGTGACAAAGAGTCGGACAAGACTGAGCGACTTTTACTCACTATAATAAATGGTCAGTAACATCATAGAAATAATTAAATACAAGAAAATCTTAAGATTTCATTCAGGTATTAACGTGCCATGCATTTCTGAGGATTTAAGAGTAAAGATATATGCTCCCTTAGACTTTTTACGTACATGGCAACTGAAAAATGAAAGCAATGAGTCATCATTGTGGTCTGATGACCTGATATAGGGAGAAAAAGGATTTCAGTGGGATTCTAAGAAAAAACAGAATCTGTATATGACTGAAGAGGAAGGAGAAACACATTCTATGAAAGTTTACAGAGATGAAAGAATAAGAAAGTGTATGGCTTAGGGAAATCAGTTTGGGAAAAGTGGTCCATCTGTAGTGGGAGAGGCTGAAACTGGCCTGCATACAGACTAACATTTAAAATGTTAAATTTGCACACTATTCTTTTTAGGGGCCTTAGAGAGCCTGAAAACTTCTTAGAAGGAAATTATGAAGACAAAGGATTAAAGCAAAGAATATGGTGGCAATACAGAAGACAGATGAGTAGGAAGACTCCAGACAGAAAGTCAGAGTGAGGACTGTATATTACAATTACTAAAGCTCAAAGTGGCAGAAATGGAAACAAAGGAACAAACATTTTCAAAGTCCTGCATGTAGTTTTGTGGTTAAACAGAACATGAGAGAAAAAAGTGAAAGATAATCAGGATTCTACAATTAGCCAGGAAGAACAGTGATACTACTAATAGAAGTTAAGTCTGATAAATATGGCTTCAGACTTATCTGAAGAGGCAGGAGAAACCCAGAGACCCACCTAAGAGGCAATGAAGAGACAAAAACCAAAACCCAAAGGAGGCCAAGACAGGAGAGAAAGATTGAATAGCTGTCTAACAGCTAAAGCCCAAAGGATGGAGGAAAATCTCATCAAAGAAGAAAAAGAGAGGAGCACTGGCTTAAAAAATGCACTCAAATTTAAGAGATAAGAGAAGACACAAGCTTTCCCAAAGGGCAACTTTGGAATGTTGAGAATGTGAGACAAGAAAAGGTGTGTAAAAAATAAAAACAATGTAACAACAGTCAAGGAAGAAAAAAAATGGTGTTTCCAGAAGGAAAAAATAAAAATTCTTTAAAACAGCAGAAAGAGTAGAGAACACAAATGAAGCCTCTAGTGGCATGGGAGGTAATGACCTTGGAGAAACAAGTTCAGGAGAATGGCGGAGATAAAAGAGATAGGCTAAAGGAAGGACAGGGAAGCCTGGTGTGCTGCAGTCCATGGGGTCTCAAAGAGTCGAACACAACTTAGCGGCTGAAAAACAACAAAAGAAAAGAAGGAGAAAATAAGTGGCAGCAGCCAATGCAAGCAGTCTTTCAAAAGCATATACAGTGAAGGGGACTTCCCTGGTAGTGCAGTGGATAAGAGTCCACCTGCCAAAATGCAGGGGACATAGGTTTCATTCTGATCCGGGAAGGTCCCACATACCTTGCAGCAACTAAGCCCATGTGGCACAACTACTGAGCCCGCACTCTAGACCTGCAACTACTGAAGCCCGCGTGCCCTAGAACCTGTGCTCTGCAATGAGAAGCCCATGCACCAAACCAGAGAGTAGCTTCCACTCGCGACAACAGCAGACAGCTTGTGCAAAGCAACAAAGACCCAGTGCAGTAAAAAATAAATAAATAAAAATTTTTAAAAAGTACATACAGTGAAATACAAGTACAGACACAAAAATTCAGGTGTACACAAAAAGTACAATTAATATGTGACTGATGGTCTTTGTCTATTGAGCCAAAAACAGTTTCTTTTTCCAACAGACAACATTTTCTTTTCCCAACAGAAGAATGTACTCTTTAGTCATGTGTCAAGTTTAAACATATTCCATTAAACACTCAAAATGTGTAGTATTCAGAGAAGACTTATGTATATCTGACCAGTATATACAGATGAACTCTAAAGCAAGCTATTTTCAACACAATGGGTTGATAACTACTGAGATTTTAAGCATTTCAAATTATTAACTGATAAACCTAAGAAGGTATAGTTATATTTGGTTTCTTCCTCTCTTCAAAGCAAACTGTTAAGACCAGAATTTGTTTTTACTTACAAACAAAACCCCCAGCTTTTTGAGGGCAAATAGTAAACAAACCAAGTAGTTCAGAACTTAAGTATGAATATAAACAGGAAAGAGTCAGTTATTTTTGATGGACACAATCAGGTTATACATGTAATCACTCTGCTGCAGCTTCAGGTACTTTGTGAAATACGGGGGTGGGGGGGGGAGGGTAAAAGGGTAGCAGAGCATCATACTTAGAGACAAACTATTTAAAAAAAACCCAAAAACTTACTTTAAGAATTTCATCCACACAACTCACATCCCCAGAAGCAGATGCCTAAAAAAAGAAGAAAAGAAACATATATTAGGTCTGAAGCCATTTCTTATTAGGTTTTTATCATTTGTTGTACAGATTTAACATTATTAGAAATAAAACTAATATTAAAGATATATTTGGTATCCCACTACTCAAAGCCAGAACACTAATTAGAATCTTTGGACTAATTTCCTTAAATACAAAATTTCAAGCACTAAAAAATTTTAATCACCAAACTGTACATGATTGGAAATTTTAAAAAAAGTTATCCAAGAAATCTTATCTTTCTTATACTTGGATTAGAAGTAACTTTTAAAATGTAGGTTTTTTAGCTGAACAAGATGTCAAAATTTAAAAGTCGATTTATATACAAAATATACTATGATACTGAGATATCATTTCACATAAACTAACAAACAGTAAAACCAGTATTATTGAAAGATTAGCTGTCTGGAACACAATGGACATTTTACATAATATTTCTTAAATCAAGAAGGTTAAGTTTATTCTGAAGCACAAACAACAATTGAGTTATGGTGAAGTCTAGCTCTAAGGATCACATTATAATGTGTAAAGAAAGAACAAATCACCACTTTACTGTTCTCTTGAGAGGAGTAATTAGATGACAAATGCCAGGAACAATGCGTTTCCTAAGGCCACAAGAAAGATTTTTAAATGTCCTCAAAACATCATTTTACCTATCCCCCTTCCCTTCCCCCACTGTTTTAAGCTATGAGCTATAATTCTCAGCTACTGATATGTCTTAAAATTTTTTTTATTGCAAAAACTAGACTAAAGGATAAAATTTCAGCTATTTCACAAAGAATGCTCACTATTTTGAATAGAATGTTTTGGTACATAGTTCTAAGCACCTTAAATTTCAAGCCACCAATATCCCTGGAGCAGTCGCCACAAACCAGAGAAAAGGATCATGGCATCCAAATCATAAAACATTACCGTCTCCATGCAACCAAAAAAGTTTCAACATTTAGCATAATGAACCATGCAATGAGAAGTAACTTTTTTAAAACAAAAGAAACAAAATGTATTATCCCATAAAATCAAAATGAGGAAACCTAAGGTATTGAGAGATCATCTTTTAGTTCTATAACTGATTTGTCATTTTAATATTTGAAAACAACAAATGACTTTTTTTCTATTGCTCAAGAGAAGTATCTAAGAGCTCTATGGATTTACATGGGAGTCAATCACAAGTTTTTCCTTAAACTTTTACATTCCTTACTGTTAAGACAAAGAGTTCAAGTTCAGTCATATCTTCAGGGTGAATTGCTTCATAGAGTTACAAAGTTAAAAAGCTCTAAATGTATGACTTACATCCAATGGTTGGGAAGGTATTTTCAGCTTGGTGAGATGTGCTTTACTGCTGGGCTTCAGTTCAGTCATGCTGTTGCCATGAGACTGGCTGCTGTAGTGTTCAGAGGACAGCTTTGGTTCCATGGACTCCTGTCCATCCATGGGCCGCACATAGGCAGTGGGTTTCTGTAGCATTGAGCTGGACTTTGACATCAATGAAGGTGGGAAAGACTGATTTGAGTGCTGCCCACTTGAAAAAGGTACACGGGAAGGAGAATCCCAGTTTGCATCAGGGTCCCGGGGTGATTTGGAACGCTGATGTTCTTTGCTATGGTGATCATTCCCATGAGACCTGGAATGACTGGCGCTTAAAGAAGAAACAGCCTGGGGTTTTCCAGGGCTGGAAGAGCGTGACTTGGAGTGTTCTGATCCATGCTGGCCTTTCTTTCGGCTACTGCTCCCACCACTGCTGTACGAGTCACGGTCATGTCTCTGGCCACTACTATTAGTGCCACCACTGGCTCCTGCACTGGCCCGCTGGCTACTGTGTCCACTCTGTAAGCCTGAGGACCGTTTCTGAGACTGAGAAGTGCTGGGTGCAGGACCTACTGGAGTCCACTTGCTACTCTGATGAGAGCTCCCATGTCTCTGTTCAAAGAAATTTGGGTTAGATTTTTCATCTGCTGTCGGCGGTACTGTAGGCTTGGGAATTGCAACAAGCTTTGGTATAGATCTGTCTCCTATGAAATCCTTCATTTCATCGTAGTTTCCAAGCATACTCTGAATACGACTTGACAGCTTATCTTCTTTGCTAGTCTACAAAAAAAAAGAAGTAAAATAAAACTATAAAATTAGTATAACTGGAAATAAAAGATGCTTCCAAACTAACTTCACAAACTTTAAATGGAAAGGGACTTTTCAAAAGAAGGTCTCATCTCATATGTTAAGGTTAAACTCTCAAAGCAAACTCCAAATACATATCTTTTTATGGTGAAAAAGAAAATGCACTGTAAGTGAAAAACCTTCACGTTAAAACACTAATATTCTAGAGGACACTGAGAAATATATATACAATAGACTATAGGAGATCTTTAAAAAATCCAAATTTCACAAATAAATATACTAGAACAGTAGTAAATATATTTTGAAGAGCAGGAAAAGTAATTATGCCTTTACGTAATTAAGTTCCAAATCAGCAAATTAGCCAATACTCATACTTTTGGCAGTCAAGGAAAACAACATATTCCTTACAATTCAATGTTATAGTTAGAAGCAGAAGTAAAAAGGTGAATGAAACAAGCTATATGTACTTAACTTTTTTTAATTAATAATTCCTTTTGTTACTGGGACACATCAAGTTAATAAAAGTCAACAACAAATTAAGCATGGAAAATCCAGTGATAAATTTTTAAATTCTGGCTATTAATTATGACCATCAAGTCCTCCAACTTTTGAAGTCAAAAAGTGTATACTCTAAAAAAAAAAGGGGGGGTACTCTGAGTTTCAAAAATTATCTTTGAATAATAAGATCCAAGATGTCTACAAGCTTTAGGACTCTTTCACATTCATGTATGTGAAAGAAAAAAGTTGACTGATTACATAAAAAGGAAATCAAGACTGAAAAACAAACAGAAGACCCTGAACCACCAGTATTTATTCTCAAGTTGGTATGAATCAGTAAGGACTTCAGATTATATGAAAATCAGTCTGAGAGGTAAATGTACACCAATTTATTGACAACATCAAGGTCAGAAATCAAATCCTATTCATTGGATATTTACATACTACATACCATACTACAAAATAAAATGGGAGTATGAGTCAAAGATTCTGGACCAAACTCCTGTTCTTTTCAAAATGTCTTTAATCCCAAAGTATTGTGTTATAAATGATGTCAGTCTAACTGCCCTTCATTGGACAAATCTTAAAAGCTCTGAATAAATGGCTACTTACAGATCTCACAAATGGTTTCTACAAACACCAAATGTTGTAAGAGTAAACCCAGGATATGTTGTTAATTCGTATTTCATGAGAAAAAAATCTAACATACTTTCAACATCATACTATGAAGCCAACAGTGATCACCAGTGCTGTAATACATATTATTATAGCTATTCTACACAATACAAGCCTTTAAATTATAGTAATACTTCCAATGAAAGTGTTAGAAATTATGAACGTGTTAGTCACCCAATTGTGTCCAACTCTTTTTAACTCCATGGACCGTAGCCCGTCAAACTCCTCTGTCCAGGGAACTTTCCTGGCAAGAATACTAGAGTGGGGAGCCATTCCCTTCTCCAGGGGATCTTTCTGACCCAGGGATCAAGCCTGTAACTGCTGCACTGCAGGCAGATTCTTTACCACTAAGCCATCAGGAAAGCTTACTTTCAACAAAATCCAAAGCCAAATCAAATATGAGAGAAACATTTGTGGCCTCTACAGTTACATTAAAGTCATCAGTTTTGGGTTCAGTTTGGGTTGGATCCCTGGGTCTGGAAGATCCCCTGGAAGAAGGCATGGCAACCCACTCCAGTATTCTTGCCAGGAAAATTCTATGGACAGAGGAGCCTAGAGGGCTATAGTCCATAGGGTCACAAAGAATTGGACATTGCTGAAGCAATTGAGCATGCACACATGCAAATCAAGTATAACGATAGTTTTTTTAAAAAAGCAATTAAACTTATTGAACACATATGACAACATGCTTTAATCTAAATTTGACATTGTTAATTAAACATTAAACATGTAAAAAGAAAATCAGAGAATCTAGTATATGATAACAGAAAATGAACCAGATTGATACTGAAAACACTTTTATTCAAATATACTAATAGTCACTGAAACTTGATAAACTAGTAAGCAAATGGCAAGAAATAGGGAAAAACAAAAGAATTTATGAAATATTTCTCTTTGACTCATGTTATACCCAAACATCCAAGGAAACAACAGATGATGTACATTGATAAAGAAACTTTTAATTTAGTTCAAGGCTCAGAAAGGTAAAATGCCTGCCAAGGGCTAGTGGTAGAGCAAGGAATAAAGATAGGAATGTTCGAGCTAATCCATACTTAAGAAGTTACAGGATATAGATGGGATGGTGGTAGGGTGAGGGGCTGTAAGGATGACTTTAGGGCACTAGTGATGTTACATTTCTTGGTTTGGGTATTAATTATGAGAGGTTGCTCATATGGTGAATGGAAATTCTTTCACCTATAACAATTTGTGTACTTTTCTGTATATATGTTTTATAGCAATGAAAAATTTATACCAAAGAAGTACATTCTATTATGAGGAAAGGAAAAACTGTTAAAGGGCATAACATAGTAACTATTTCAAATATAAAAACTCAAGTTTAAACATTTTAAAAGAAAAATACGTCACATTATAGGGGAAAAAACATTCAAAGAACAACTTACAACTTTGTATGGCTCAGCAAAGAGAGGAGAGCTAGGTGGGAAGGCGTCGTCGCCCTGCTGAATTTCCTGATTCCGCCTTTCCCGTTCTTTCATACGCAGCACATTCCGGTCTTCACGGTTCATGTTGCTATGAAGAGAAACACAACTTTTACATTACACAAAAAAAGGAAAAATTAAATGTTCTGTACTCATTTTGTCAGTTTAACGCTTCAATCGGATATTCCCTTTTAACTTTCAAGTGATAACAGGCACTAGTACTGAAGTTGGGTTTTGGCAATGGTTTTATCAACTAAAAACCAATAGTGTCTTCCCACAACTATCCAGATAGGAAACACTGGCCCAGGATATTAGGATCCACCCCATTTAAACACTTAGCCTTATGAATTTTTTAAGTTTTCTGCTAGCTAAAAGTCAGCTAAAACTTACGTATTCAGAGGGAAAGTAGTACTTAAACCCATACATAATTCTTAGCATTTCCTATAAACCACCTGTGGCTTCTTCTTCAGAAATCTAACTATTCTTTGTCATTAGAAGCATACAACCCACTCCTACCTACCACCCCCTCCCCCCAGGGTTCAGTGCTTTTCTCTACTTTCCATCTACCTTATCTTGATTTCTTTTTGTCCCAAACACAGCTTCCTTGGTGTCCATCCTTATGGCAGTTTGATCTCAGCTTTGCTGTTGCTCTAGATTCCCTAAAAAACGACATTTCTGCTCTAAATACATTAATATTTCAATTAACACCTCAATAAATGCCAAAACTGAGGCTTTCAGCAGCAGAATCTAAAAATAACTTGGGTTAGTAACAGTAGTTGAAATTTTACAGAAAAAGAAAAAGTCTTTTGGGAGAAGGGGTAAATGAGGGTGTCATTTCTATAATCATGATAGTATGTTCTGTTTTCAGTAAGAAACCAAGGAAAATAGTTTACATCAGTGGGATTTTTGGTTAATAGATAATAATGAAAACTGTTGTCTAATCCTGGGACAAGGGATTATGAGGGACTCTGCAACATACTCTTCCCTGGAGATATGTTTAATCATCTGTCCTAGTTATGCTTTGTTTTGCTTTGAAAATTCTGCTGGAGGCCAAACAGAAAGACCAGGTTATACAGTGGAGTATTTCCAGCCTTATGATAAGATTCAGAAATTATATTAAATCAGAAAATTAAAGTCAATCAAGACTGGTAGAAACTTAATTGTAAAATGAGAAAGGACAGCAAAACCAATATATTCTTGAGGACTTTTATAAGCACAAATAAACATTTAAATATAAAACTTTCTGATTTGCAATTTACTATCATTCAAATAAAGCAACTTAGTGTTTAAAAATGTGTTCCAGGTATCCAAATGTATATTCAAGTTCTTTCTTTTATGTACAACTTTCTAATAAACTTAGAAAAGAATATAAACTATTTTGAGCTTATGGGAATAGTGTGTGCTTTCTTTAGTCTCCCATCAGAACCACAAAAAGTATTTCTTTCTTTAATAAATACCACAAAACATCTACACTTTGGTATTCAGAAATTAAAATGAAAGAATATTTATTATCCCCTAGTACACTTGTGCCAACTAATAACTGTGTATCACTAACAATCAAACTTCAAATAGACCTCTAGAGCTATGGTGCCACAACACATGAACCTGTCTGTATCCATTTCTGCACTACCTACCAATTTCCTCTAATTTCCTAAGTTTAATTATTGAAAGCTCAGGGACTTCTCCAGTGATCGAGTGGTTAACACTCCAGCCTTCCACTGCAAGGGATGCTGGTTCAATTCCTGGTTGGGGAACTACGATCCCATACAGCAGGGCAACTAAGCCCATGTGCTCCAACTAGAGAAGCTCACCCACCACAACAAGGAGCCTGTGCATAACCAGAGAAAGCCTGCTCAACACAATAGAGACCCAGAGCAGTCCCCACCCCCAAATTATTGAACAATCAGACAACAACAGATATGCCTTATTTAAATTATGATTTAATTTTACATGTTCAACAGCACTAACATAATCATGCAAGAAACATGTGAACATTTACTGCAAAAACGGATGATTCCCACAATAAAATTTCTCCTATAATTCAATAATAAAAACTTTGTTTTCTTAAACAATAAAAGTCATCACACTGAATATTTCCTCATTTAACAAAACTGCCAAGAAGCTCATGATGAAATTAAAGGATTGCTAATAACAACTAATATCCCAGTTTCAGTTCTTACTCTCTAGGTTTTTTCTGATTTGACTTATTTTCACATCTAATACACTGGTTCTATTTTTTTCCTTCTGTGTCTTTCAATATCAGTCTCTCTGCCTAAAATAAAGTTTTTCCCAAAGCAGTAATTCCAATAATTCCACTTGAGCTGACCCAAAATTAATATGAAATTCAAATGACTCAATTTAAAGTATATCTCTGTTGCACAGGCAAAATTATATTCCTCTTATATTTGCAACTACTATACTAAAACGGAATTCAGTAAAAAATAACAACCTGCTATATCACAACCAATTTACTAGATAAAATAATTTCTAAAAGAAAATTAGCAGGTAGAAAGAAGGTTCTTCTAATATTTTTCATTACTTAAGGTAAATTGTTTAAGTACCTATCCAGTATTTAAGTTGATATACTAATTACTAATTTTTTCTTCTAGTTTTATTGAGATATAACACATAGCACTTGAAAAGTTAACAGCATAATGGTTTGATATGTATCATAAAGTCATCATCACAGTAAGTTTAGTGAACATTCATCATCTTACACAGATGCAAAATTAAAGAAATAGAAAAACATCATTTTTGATGAGAACTCAATGATTGACTCTCAACTTTTAAGCGAAACATACAGCACTGTTAATTTTATTAAACTGTATTGTCCAGCACCTCCCTAGCACTTACCCTTATACCTGGAAGTTTGTACCTTTTGACTGCCTTCATTCAATTCCCCTGACCCTTATCCCCCATCTCTGGTAACCACAAATCTTAACTCTGCCTCTTCTGAGTTTGTTTCTGAAGTGTAATTGATCTGCAACACTATGTTAGTTCCTGTTATACTACCTGATTTACCTCTATACATTTGAAACTGATCACCACAATGAATCTAGTAAGATACTTCACCATACAAACATAATACATAGTTACTGACCATATTCCTCACACTGTACATTTCAAACCCTTGACTCATTTACTTCCTAACTGGAGTTTGTACCTCTTCATTATCCTCACCTGTTTCTTTCCTTCAACCTCAACCCCTCCCCTCTGACAACCATCTGTTTGTTCTCTGTATGGAAAACTCGGTTTCTGTTTTATTGTGCTTGCTCTTTTTTTTTTTTTTAAGATTCCACATATAAATGAAATCATGTAATATTTGTCTTTCTCTATTTGACTTAAATAACTTTTTAGGATAATACCTTCTAGGTCCATCCATATTGTTGCAAATGGAAAGATTTCATTCTTTGTGATGGCTGAGTAATTTTCCATTAAACATATTTATACATCACATCTTCTTTATCCATTCATCTACCAATGGAACTGCAGCTGCTTCCATATCCTGGCTGTTGCAAATAATGCCACAACTAACATAAGGGTGTATATATCTCAAGTGTTTTTGTTTTCTTCTGTTTGCTGGATCATATGGTAGTTCTGTTTTTATGGATGGCATTTCAGATAACATAGTAATGTTAAGTCCCTCAACTGTGATAACTCTATTTCATTATGTAGGAGAAAATCCTTGATTCTTACTTAGGACATATACAACACACAGGCAAAATGTTATGTTTGCCAACTCTCAAATGGTTCAATGCCCGTTGGAATCTATACCTAGTATGTATAGATAGTATGTCTATAGAAAGTATTGTATGTGGTGCTGGGGGGAGAGACAAGAGAGAGGGATAGATAAAGGAAGGAGGGAAAGACAGAGGTAAAGGAAAGGGTAAGGAAGAGAAGAAGGAAGAGTAGCAGCAGCAGCAGCAACTAAATGTTAATCTAGGTGAAGGGTATAGAGATCTGTATTATACTTTTCTTAGGTCTGAGATTTTAAAAATAAAATATGAAAGGCTAACAGTGATTAAAATATTAGAGCACAATGGGTGCTTTCCAGCATTTTTCAGCCTTGGGACTACCATCAAACTATTTCTCCTCTAGGGCTTACACTACTTCTCTCATGACTAAGGTGCACCTCCAAATCCACTCTGCTATCCGGTTCTCCTCAACTCCTCTGTGTCATGATTTATCACATTTTAGAAAAAAATTACACTTATTACTTGCAAAGAGGGGACAACATCCACAGGCCAAGCTTCGGTTCAATAAAAGTAAATCAACATCCAAAATTTATCTAAAGCAAAATTTAATATTATTAAGTACACTATTAACTTAATATGCAACAAGCGTCTATTACATACTTAGCATCGGGGAGAACAAGAATAACCTGCCATACTAGATTAAAGCTTATTATAATCCATTACCATTATCAAAATAGGATGGTAAAGAAATGAACAAATTGATCAGTAAAACAGAGGCAAGAAATAAATCCCCAAACATGTGGGATTTTAATAGTTTAAAAAGCCCAATCCAATAATAAAATGTTTTATTTAATAACAATTAAGAGCCATGTACTTTTCTAAAATGACAGTTATTAAAATGGTGAAGACATTTCAAACTCATCCAGAATAAAGACAAACCTTTCAGCCCAGCAGCCTCACTTGTGGGACTCTCATCCACAGAATTAAAAGCACAGCTATCGGCTACAGAGATGTTCACTGCAGCACTGTTTTTAGTGGTAAAACAATTTAAAACAATCAAATGCCCAAGAACAAAGAGATGGTTAAATAAACCATGATTTATTAAAACAAATGAAGTAGATAATTTCCAATTAACCTAGGGAATTTCCATGAATGTTGCTATGTAAGGAAAAGAAGGTGCAACACAATGTATGCCATATGACTGACAGCCTCATTATTTCTTTAGCTTAAACTTGGAAGTAGAATTGTTAGTGCTGAGTATACAGAAATACAACTCAACTAATAGGAAAACATGCCCACCACCATTCTTATAAGCTAAACACAAGAAAACTGAAAATCTGAATATCCAGTTTTCATGCATAATATGAAAGATGTCTCCCTATTTAGTTAAAT